GGGGGGGCAGGGTAAGGTTATGAGTTTATATAGTTAGTGGGTAGGTGGATCCTGGCCGTTGGATGAGATGTGATGAAGGGCCAGGATCCTTCGACTAACAGGGAACGGCGTCGTTTCAAGGGTAAAGGGTTGGAGTCGGTCCGGGTGAGACGGGTCGGGTCTGTTAGTGGGTTCGGGGCGAGAGATCTTGGCCGTTGATCAATCTGAGATCAACGGCCCAGATCAGACCAGATCAGAACGGTGTCGTTTGGAACGCCCCTTGAGGCCAGCTGGTCTGGACCGGGTTTACATGGGGTTTTGGGTTGGGTTGTTTTGGGCTTTGAATTAACAATAAAAGTAAGCCCAACCGATTTTTAAACCCAATTCTGCATCTCCCTTTTTTATTATTATTTTTTATTTTATATATATTTTTTTTTAAAACAAAACCTAAGTAAATAAAAAATAAAATTTCATAAACACTTAATACAATTATTTGCACACGCATAAAAATATTTTAAAACAGGTAAAATCAAACAAAACAAAATCACGGACAAAGATGCCTATTTATGATTTTCTATTTAACAACCGGGTTACGGTTCAAATTATGCATGACACATACATTTTTTGTATTTTGTTTTTAATAAAAATAAAAATGGGCAAAAATCATAAATAATTAACAAAGTACCATGTAAAAATCCAAAAATTGTACAGCAGGACCAATTGTTATTTTTTTATTTCTTTTGGAGCGATTGTCGCGCGAAACGAAAATCACGTGCTCACACTTACAAGAGGTAAAAGCTGGGAAGGCAAGGTGAGTGACGAAGGAATTGTTAGGCGACCTCCAATGAGAGTTGCCAAACAAAAGCAGGCTGCCCCAACTACTTCTACGAGGTCCAACCGTTCAAAAAGGAAATGATGATTTTTGAATACATTTTGCACATGGTTGAGGGAATCGACAAAGAATTACAAATTGAAGATTTTACAAGTTTGGAAAAGAATGGACAAGAATCAAATGGGTACTACATTTTATTTTACCACTGTCTTAGTATCCTCATCTGTAATATCATCACAGAGTATGTTATAAACTCTGTGATGATCATAGAATATTTGGTCATTTCAAGTTCATATTTTTTACATGCTTGTTAGTTCGCGAGGCTATTGTATGCCTCAATAGGATTAGTAAGGTAAGGTTTAGCCCGGTTTGTGTTGCCTTGGTCCTATGCCTTTGGAAATTATCCACACGGCTATGAGATTATATGCCCTCGTGAGACGTTGCCGACAGCTAAACCATGAATCCTATACATGAGGCTGTCATCATAAGGCAGTGTGAAGAGCAGAGGAGTGATTATATAGCCAAGGCATTTGTGTAACAATATCGGTGCTATTGTCCCCCTTATTTCTACTCTTCCTAATTGTTGTATTTTTATTTTTATTTTATTAATAAAAAATTAGCCCTAGGCGCTTGCCTAGCGGATTACTAAAAACAAATAGGTGCAAGGATCAATCCAATTACGCAATTGTCTAAGCCCCACATTGGGCGCCAAATTATTTACCCGTAAAATGGTACAGTTGAATTTATAATGTGGTTTATAGACAAGCAAATCGATTTGATCCCAAAATGATAAATAAATTAAATAAAATGCAAGACTTACCGTTGAAATCAAGATAAGACAGTAAATAGCCTGGTTCTGGGAGCAGAGCTTCTGAAGGCAGCAGTATGAATTTCAATAAGTAAGAAATGAAATGTTATTGAGCTTTTGCATAATATATAGTATAAGTTTGTCAGAAAATTTGTGTCCCTTACAATGGTTGTTGAAGTCACTATTTATAGTTTCACCTAGGAAAAAGATCCTGGGATCAAACCCCTCTTAAATGATAATTATGGGGGTTATTGAAGAATGAGTAACGGCAGGCTACGAATACCAAAATTCTCTGTAATGGACTGTGTATTTAATACTGCATAATATTTCTCATTGAATTCCATAGGGTGGTAGGCATTCATTTGTCTTTATTAGCAATATTCCCTTCGGGGGCTTTCCGGTGCCAACCGGAGCAATTGCCCATGTCTTGGTTTCCACATGTCTCGCTTTTTATCTGTCTCTGGTTCCATGTGTTGCTCTGTTCTACGAGTATTTAATGTGAGCCGATTTTATCTTATACAACAGGTTGGGTTAGGTACCATCACGACTAATGAATTTTGAATCGTGACACCAATTTTCAATAGTAAAAATAAAATTGAAAAGAGAGAGGGAAAAAGGAAAAAAGAAAAAAAGTCCGCCCGTGATTGTGTATCAATCAAGTAGAGGCAGGGGCATAGTATTAAGGACAGTGACATAGCGCGTATGGTGTAATAGCATAGCAGCCTCTCTCTTTTGTAATATTGTATCTATATCACAGTCAAACCCACCAAGTTTGACTCATAAATAAACCCCTATTTTTATTTCTAAAAAATATATAATTTAGAACTTTCTCCAGTATATATCACATTTTCCACGGTCAAAGCCCTTTGCAGCTACTTGGAAGATTCTTAAATCCACTTAATCTAACAAAAGAAATATGGAAAAGCAGCATAGCGCCTTGCAGAATACGTGTTCATTTTTCCTTTTAATTTCTCATCCACTCCCACAAAGTCAAGACCATCATATAATCCAATCCTCATTCCTCTCTCTCTTTCTTCTAATAAAACCAATAATGGCAGCTTCCTCAACAATCATAGACACATCATCTATGCAGAATTCAAGTTTCTCTTTTCCAACTTCATCTTCTTCATTCATGACTTCTTCATTCACTGAACTTCTTGCTTCTGATGATTATCCAACAAAGAGCAAAGGACTTGGTGATAGGATTGCAGAGAGAACTGGTTCTGGAGTTCCCAAGTTTAAGTCACTTCCACCTCCTTCACTACCCCTTTCTCCTCCTCCTTTTTCTCCTTCCTCTTACTTTGCTATTCCTCCTGGCTTAAGCCCTACTGAACTCTTGGACTCTCCTGTTCTTTTGTCTGCTTCCAACGTAAGTCACTATCTTTTTTGCTTTTTTTTCTGTTACTTCATTGGATTATTGATGTTAAAAAATGTTATTGCAGATTCTTCCATCTCCAACAACAGGGACATTTCCAGCTCAGGCTTTTAACTGGAAGAGCAGCCGCCATCAGGGTGTCAAACAGGAAGACAAAAACTACTCTGATTTCTCTTTCCAGCCCCAATTTGGACAATCTTTTCCATCAGTCTCTCCGTCCCAAACTAATCTTGTCCCTTTGGTATGTTTTGAACTCTCATTATTTTTGTGTCTGACTTGTCAATTGGTAAAGTTAATTGACCCTCTTATTTTCTTGTGCACAATCAGAAGAAACAATCATGGAATTATCAAGAATCAAGAAATCAGAATGATCAATCATCTGAAAATGCTAATGGAAGAACTGAATTCAACACTATGCAGAGCTTGAAAAATAATGGTCAGAGCAACCAATATAACAACCAATCATCACAGAGTATAAGGGAGCAGAAAAGATCAGAAGATGGGTACAATTGGAGGAAATATGGGCAGAAACAAGTGAAGGGTAGTGAAAATCCAAGAAGTTACTATAAATGTACTTTCCCAAATTGTCCCACAAAGAAAAAAGTAGAGAGGTCTTTAGATGGACAAATTACTGAAATTGTGTACAAGGGTAATCACAACCATCCAAAGCCTCAGTCTACTAGGAGATCCTCATCCACAGCTTCCTCTTTAACCGTCCAACCTTACAGTACACAAACTAATGAAATCCCAGATCATCAGTCATATGGTTCAAATGCAACACCTGAGAATTCTTCCATTTCATTTGGTGATGATGATCATGATCATGAGCAAAGCTCTCAAAAGAGTAGGTCAAGAGGAGATGATAATGAAGAAGAAGAACCAGACTCAAAAAGATGGTAAGAAAAACCATCATGTCACCAAGTAGTGCTGTTATGTTATTGAATTTTTGGCTAATGCTAACATTAAATTTTCAGGAAAAGAGAAAGCGAAAGTGAAGGTTTATCAGCACCAGGAAGCAGAACAGTAAGAGAACCTAGAGTTGTAGTTCAAACAACAAGTGATATTGATATTCTAGATGATGGTTATAGATGGAGGAAGTATGGTCAAAAAGTAGTGAAAGGAAATCCTAATCCAAGGTAAAACTAAAACCTCCTCACCTTTCATAAATTTGTCTCACATTTTGTTTAGAATCAACCTAATTTGTTTCACTATGTAATGTAATAGGAGCTACTACAAATGCACAAGTCCAGGATGTCCAGTAAGAAAACATGTGGAACGAGCATCACAAGATATAAGATCAGTGATAACAACTTATGAAGGAAAACACAACCATGATGTTCCAGCAGCTAGGGGCAGTGGCATAAACCGACCTGTCGCACCAAACATTACTTACAACAATGGTGCCAATGCCATGGCCATAAGGCCTTCTGTCACATCTCAAATTCCATTGCAAAGTATAAGGCCACAACAATCTCCCTTTACACTAGAGATGTTGCACAAGCCTAGTAATTATAATGGTTTCTCAGGATATGTAAATTCAGAGGATTCATATGAAAACCAACTTCAGGACAATAATGTATTTTCCAGAGCAAAGGACGAGCCTCGAGATGACATGTTTATGGAGACATTGCTCTGCTGAATTGAATTCTCTTGGTCATCTTGAGAGTTCGAACATGAAATCGAAATTTCATAAAAGAATATGTTGGTTTCACTTCATTTGTCAATCCATCATATATCTACTTTTACATTTTTGCGGGTGTGTGTACATTTTGCCTAGGAAATTTGCTGGTTGTAAATTCAATGAAATGCAGTGTAGAAGCTCATGTATACTATTATGGGGTGTGTTCTTTAGGATACGAATGTAAAGCCCCAATTCATGACATATATATATGACACTGATTCTTTCTTTCTTCATTATTTATCAAAAAATTTCAAGTTTTATTTATAATTAGAAGATTGTAATCTTTCAAGATTCTGGTATATTGAGAATAATTTGTCTGCCTAGCTAGCAAGTTTTGCAGTAAATTTGAGTGCAAGATAGTGGATAACTTCGTCGCTTTAGATACTAATTTTTTTTTTTGGGTCATTTGGTTAGATGCCAAATTATGAGATAGGGACGAGAAGACTTTGTTAGATTCAGCCCCTCTAGTCCATCTCTTTTCCTTTCCTAGTTCCTTCCCACCAGCCAACAAAGGAGAATAAATGAAAAATCAAACAAACTGAACCCCACAAGACACGCAAGCACAGACGAAACCGTTACGTAAGAAAGAAGCATAGAAGTTGCCAAGCAGAGCCCCATATTTCCCGGGGAAAATTTCACGCAAATAAGGCTCCCTACTTTTTTATTTTATAAATCATATTTCAATTTATAACTAATTAGCCCAAAAATAATAAGCTAAGATTCAACATCTAATTCCAATAAGTTTTCGAAATTACTATTTAATTTCTAAAAAAAAATTGATCAAACTTTTAAGTTAATTTTCGAATCACTAGCTGTGACTCAAATATCAGTTCAACAAACCAAATCCATTTGGGTAGTGAAAATTAGATTTTTAGCAAGCTTAAATATGTGGGTTTAAATTTCGAATTTGATTTTGTGAGAAATTTGGAGTGGGTGTTATTTAGACTTGTTAGAAATAGTATAAGGAGGTTGTACATAAAATTTGAAGTCATTTAATGGAGATTTGGACTGGTTTTGAACAAGAATTGCAACTGAAAATCGTGAAAGAAGTTCGTCTACATACGCTTGTATAAAAGTATATAATAGTGTATAAGATGTATTTATACACTCATATACATTATTATATAATATTATACATAATTATACAAAAAACTGACTTCGTCTTATTCCTTACGTCTTTTCTGAAATTTAACTCAAATCTTGTTCAAATCTACTCCAAATCACTTCACATTTAAATTTTGAACTCCTTTTGATATTTTCAATCAATTAGAACAACACTCAATCCAAACAACTAACAAACTCAAAAAATTCTATTTCGAAAGCAAAGCTTTGAATGACCTTCAATGGTGGACTCTACTCTTCAATTTTCTTACACTGCAACCAGGTGACACAGAAGGAGAAGCAGAAAATACATGGCCCTTGAAGCATAAGTAGAAGATGTGAGAAGAAGAGAAAGTGAAAGAAATGGCGGTGAGAATACAAATTTAACTCCATAGCTTTTAGAAGCAATGGTTGTAAGAATACATATTTTGAATTTGCTAGTGCTTCCAAAATATGCACAATATGAGTTAGGTCGGGTAAAACTTAAAAACATCGGCCATTTTTTGTTATGGTATAAAATCACGTGTATTTTCTTGCAATTCTTTCTAATTGTCGCAACTTTTTTTATTCAATTTTACTTTTTTCTGTGCCCGAGTTGATACGATTTTTTTTTTGCCCAATAATATTTTAACACTATATTGGTAAAATTCAGCTCTACCGTGTGACACAGCAAAACGATGACAAGAAATTAAAGCGGTTACGGACCCATGAGCATGGAAGTCAAGACCCGGGAGCAAAAGAATCGTGGCCGAGACTACCTATTTAGTTTGAAACAACAGCAATCGGAAGAGCATACATCCGGAGCGGATGAAATACTTTTAGTGCCAAACGCAATTGTACTTATAACCTTCCTGAGATCCTAGCCTCCATCTATTCTGCAATTACGATTGTCGTTAGGGAGGATCTCGTTATCCCACTAACAGCATACCAAGCATGCATACTGAGAACTTGGAACAACATCATCCCATTTAGGCTATAAATACTTCAATTAGCTCATTTGTAACACACATCTAATAACACATAACCTTGTACGATCACTTGTTGTATTCTTATTCTATTCATTAGCAAGATTATCTTTCTCTCTTATCGATGTTGTATTCTATTTCAACACAGTCGCTTCAGAAGCCAACAGTTAATAAGATTTCTTTTATCTTAATTATTCATTCTATTGCATAGGCTTATGATTATTTGTGAAGGTACGGGAACTTATTCTTGATATGTTGAATTGTTTAAATCATTTGTATTCATATAGAAATTCTATGTGCATACATCCATATAATTTTTATTAAGTCCTTTGTGTATTTTTCATCTACAATCCTTGAACACATGCATATATTTTATATATGGATATTTAATTTGGACTGAGGATTTTGTCATGGAAGGTAAGGCGTACTGATGAAATACAGTAGTGACACAGAGGACTTGATGATAAGATATTTGACTATGAGTGAGCTATTAAGCTTCTCTTTGTACTTGGATTTGGATTTGTCCCTCCGGAGTCGGGTGATTACCCATGTCACTTTGGGCCATGTGAGAATGGTCAATACATGGATTTTGTATCGGGTCGATACATGAATTTTATATCAAGTTTTGGCGATACATGGATAGTGTATCGGGGTACATAGATCTTATACCGCTTTGAGCATACATAGATATTCTAAACCACTTAGATGCATTCATTAAGATGCTAATTATTATTTGACATCCTTATATGCTAGTTGAGAGCCCCGACTCTATTGTTTGGTCATGCTATATTTAAGTACTAAATCTGAGTAGCATTATGATTATTTCTTGCACTGAAAAAGCATGCTTTATACTCTTCAATTGTTAATATCGCTGATTCGTGTTATTCATGAAATTATTTACTGTTTCACTGCTAAGTTATGTTATTTATATCTATGTTTGTAGGTATTTAGATGCATCTAGTCTCGCCACTACTTCTTCGAGGTTAGAGTTGATACTTACTAGGTATTGATTATAGTATAGTCATATTACGCTTCTGCACATCTTTTGTGCATATACTCAGGTTGGAGCTAGTGGAGCCTCCCGTTGAGCATAGGCGGTATCACAGAGACTCAAGCTGAGCTACACTCTATGGATTCATTACGCAGTGTCCCAATCTTAGTTCCTTTACTATTTACTATCTAATTGTATCTAAAACAACATTGTTATGTATACAAACTTATTCTATTTCTGTAGTTGCTCATATACTTATGCCACCTTATCTCGGGGGTTGCACTATATTGATCGTGTTTAGGCCATATTATGATTATATCATATATTGTTACTATTTTGGAACTATTTATGTCTTAATTTTAATATGACTCTGTTAATTAAAGTTAATGGACTTTATTTTGTGAGTTTTCTTGCTTAGCAAGTGCGGCTAGGTGCCATCACGGCCTTAAGGTAGGATTTTAGGCCATGACAAGTTGGTATCAAAGCTCTAGGTTGTATATGTATCACGAGTCACGAGCATATCTAATAAAGTCTTGTGTATCGGTACAGAGACCTATGTACTTTTCTCTGAGAGGCTATAGGATGTTAGGAAACTTCTCTCTCTTTCATTCTTTATCGTGCGGCTTTATTGAAAAGAAGTTTGAATCCTTATACTTCTATTCTCTCGCAGATGATGAGAACACATTCATAGGGAGCAGTTTGGCAGGGGCTAGCACCTCGGGCTAGGGCTACGAGGGTCCAAGGCCGAGGTAGGTGTGGAGAACCTGTCATAGTTACAGCCTCTACTAAAGCAGCCATCATGGAGCCACCAGTAACTCCAGTTGAGGAGCAAATTTTTTATCCGGGTGAGCTAGTTGGACCAACTTATGTCCCCGAGGCATTTATTTCTACCCAGTACTTGAGAATGTTCTTGTTCATTTGGTTGGTCTTATGAAGGGTTTGGCACCGACTAGGGTACTTCCTGTGGTGCCGACTACTTCTCATGAGGGGGCGGGGAGGGGGGAGGGAGTGGGTACAAACTCCTGCTACTAACACTCTTGGGCAGGTTGTTGTTGTTTATTAGACACGGGGAGTAGTACGGACTGCGGGACATCCTCTCGTGGTTGTTGTTAGGCCAATACTAGAGGCCCCTATGTTTGAGGAGGATCTGAAAAGATTTGATCGCTTCAAGAAGACGGATCCTTCACATTTTGATGGTGGTCCTTTAGCAGATGCATATGATTTCTTAGATGGTCGTCAAGAGAATCTGTAGAATCTTGGTTTGGCGGAGTCGAATGGGGTCAATTTCACTATTTTTAAGCTTAATGGGACAACCAAGAGGTAGTGGCAGTCTTATGAGCGTAGCAGGCCAGCATAGTCACTTTCCCTCTTGGAATCAGTTTTCACCTCTTCTCAGAGAAATTCTTTCCCCTCATAGAGAGAGAGGAGATGTGTGGCTAGTTCGAGCACCTTCAGTAGGGTTGTTTGTTTGTGTCACGACCCCAGTTCGCCCCTCTGTGAACTTTCATGATGGCACCTAGTCCCTACAACTAGGTAAACCTAATAATGCGGAAAATAAATAATTTGCAGAAAAATAATAATATAAAACCAAAATAACAAAATGAAATAGTGTTTAAGATGTCGCCTGGCATATAACAGTACAAAAATCTCAACCTAACACTTCCCAAAATCCGGAACCCCATGAATCACAAGCTAAGAGATTATATAAAAATCTCTAACTCCAGAAATGTCTATCAACAAGAAAATACAGAAGGGTTATACTAATACTGAGAATAGAAAGGGACTCTTCGGTCTTCGGATGCGGCAAATATACCTCAGAATCTCTTTAACATCACCTCACCTCAAGTGTGATAAGGCTGTCTGGATTTGCACATGAAAAACATGCGCAGAAAGGGCATGAATACACCACAGCGGTACTCAGTAAGTGCCAAGCCTAACCTCGATCGGGTAGTGACGAGGAAGGTCAGGGCCCTACTGAGGTTAAATGAAATACAAGGTTTTAACAGTGTAGAACAAGACACTATAAATAAGTGCAACAATAAAAGTAACACAGGATAGAAGGACAACAACAACTACTACAGAGGCAAAGTAAATACAGAAAGAAATACAGCTCAACACAAAGATTACAACCGAGAATCTCCCAGGATACCGTCCTGTAGTCCCAAATATAAATATC